TATCTCACTAGATAAGAAATTATATTGGCAATCATAATGGTAATAATCATAACGGTTACTAATCTCTGGATCCCGTAGGGTACTGGTTCCAGTACCCTAGGGTCACACCCTAGGGTACTGGAACCAGTACCCTACGGGATGATATGAGGTAGTATATAACTACCTCATATCATCCCGTGGAAGTCGTAAACGGCGACAGAGGAAAATTAAAATAGAAGCAGCAGTAACTTCCAGATAACAACTGAAAACAACATAAATCTGATTGCTGTCTGTTTGTCAACCCGCCTGTTAAGCGTAACAACTATTCCCTATGAGGATATCTATGGGGGAGGCTTATGTACAGCAGTGGAAGTTTAAAAGGTTGTACTGAATGAAAAAAGAATTAATGTTTTTTCTGGATAGGTTGCAAACATAACAATGACGATGCTTTCCATCTTCGAGGTGGGTATTTTATGCATGGTGTAAACGAGATGGCTATAACACCACTTATTAAAGAAAGAAAGAAAGAAAGTAAGAAGTTTATTTGGTACATAAATTATAAGAAACAAAAAAAATCAAATAGGACAATTTTTTTAATTTAACAAAAATATTAAAAAAAGAAGAAATAAAATAAACTTAATATGCACCAAAACGGTCTCCACTCAACTTTAAGTCAAAATTTTAATTTTATTAAAAGCCTAATGACCTTTTTTGTCATAGCCCTGAGTCGCCCTGCACCCAAGGAATTAAATGGGATGAAGGATTCTTTTGCGCAGCAAATAAAAGAACAATTTAGTTACAAGAACGTCGCATTTTTAAGTAAGTTATTGTAATTTTCTTGAGTATCCTATTTATTTTTAAAATATTTTATCTGTCTTTTATACAAGTATGCGCGTACAGAAAAATAAAAATTGTAAAAGTTAAAGTAAATATGTGATACATTATATTGTTTAACATGTCAGAAAATATAAATTGTCTTATTATTTAAAATAAATAATTTTAATACTTTTGTATACCTAAAAAAATACAGAACAACCTCTATCTAACTGTGAAATGGTGTTTACTAAAATTAATACAAAAAACCGCCGTGCACGCCATCTGGTGTCGGTACTCTGGGACCGCGTTATATAACTGTTTGTTTTACAAATAAACTACACGAGTTCCCGGCTTTGCTTGATGTTCACGCACCTGGGTTTTTTGGACAAGAGGGATTATCGGATAGTATTTAAAAAAAATCTAATGATATTTTAAAATCATAATTCATTATTATATTCTACCAATATTTTATTGTGAAAATTAAAGATTAATCATTTAATATTATACGTTTTTCAAATTTTTTAATTTTTAAAATATAATAAAAAATTAGTAAAACTTTATAAACTCATTAGTATTGATATTCACGAAGGCACTTAAAATCTTCGACACGACAAAAGAGTGAACGAATTTACACACCATTCATATATGTCACAGATTATATAAGTTATCTAACCCCCGTTAGAAATAAATCAACCGAAAAAAGACCGTTGAAAGCGTTATTTTTATACTAGGGCTACGTAACAATAAAAAACGTAATATAACCCTCAAACAGTTGATGTATCCATTTTTAAATATGGCTTACCCCTTCAGCGGTATGATATACGACCTCAAGGCACGTGTTATACGGCCCAATGAAAAGTTACATTAAACAGGACTTAACTGTAAAGAAAAAACGTTATTCTGACATCCCTTTTATACGTCTAATCTATTTATGTTTATGATGGATCGTAAAGATGTAACTATTTCACGCTTGCCCTGGTATTCTTAGGCACCGTATAAAAATTATATGAAAATATAATGCGCAAAGAAAGAAAGAAAATACCAAATATTCTATCGTCTCTTCTTTTTAAACTAATATTAATAATTTTCTTGAAATTTTAAATTTATCATGTTTCATTGAACTTTCAGTTTTCAACTAAAATATTATGTACGGTAGGACTCTTGTTCTGTCTTGAAAGTATCTGGGTAGGAACAAATAAAGCAAAGTAACCTGTATACAGGGTTATTATCCAAAGAGTAGTCAAAGTTTCGACTTAAATTCAAATATATAAACAATGAAATACCATTATTGCAGTTTTTGAAAATACGGCTTCTACTTTTATTTGAAATTATCGCAAATTGAATGTGATTTATGGGGAACACCGTTTTTGCCTACCGATCGACCCTTATGAATGTGTTCGTGCGCAGTAAAATCAATTAAAATAATGCATTACCACACATTTTGAAATTAAAAGATAAAAAGGACAGAATGTTTGAGATATTTTTTAATTAATTTTTCTTCACCATTTGTGTATATTACTTATTCTGAAACTTTTCTGCAAATTTGGCCGGTCATTACAAAATAACCCTGTATGTCACACAGGTGGGTAAAGGCCTCTTCACATTTTTGAGAGGGTTTTAGGGCAAAGGGCAGCGCGACGACTGTCCCAAAGCATGTTGGCGGCATGTCTTCGAAATATTTTTACTAACCAGACATGCAGGTATCGTTACGATGTTCTCCTTAATCGCTAAGCACATGCTACGTCAGCGCTGAAAATTACTTGTAACAATTTCTTGAAACCAGCGTGGATCTAACCCTAAGCTACCGTGGCTCTCCAAATATTTTATATATACAAGCCGATATATTTTCTCAATCTGACTGAGGTAATGTGGGATTAAAGGTATAATTACATTTTTATAATGCATCTTTTAAAGCATGTCGTCTGTATAGGTACCCAAAGCAGTCCGGGAAGGCATCCTACAATTCTCTCACGTATAAAAAAGTAGACAACTTTTTGAAGATGATGTTCGATGTGCATAAATGCCCTTACTGTTTACAATACGAATTGTTTTAAGTTATCTTTTATTTGCACTCTATGCTGAGTACACATAGAAAGTTCGACCACTAGCCTAGCCCACTCTAAGTAAGCTCTGTATCAAATTTTCTTAAATCGTCCATTTCGAAAAATATTCCAGCTAAAAATGTTTATCGTTGATATTGCCATGTGGTAAGGAAGATGCTTTTACCCATCTCCTGTTTCAGTTTCCTTCTGTTCCAGTGGTTGCAGTGGTTATGTAAGAGAAAATAAATCTTGATAATATTTAAATAATTCTTCACCTTGACAAAACAATAAGGCGAACACGGCTATAAATAAAATATAGTTTTGCATGTAACATAGGAAATTAGAATAAATTGATATGTTTATGCAAAAAAACGTCTGGCACGGTGAATGAGACAATTATTCTGATTGTCGTATAATTTTTATGTGCCACGAAATTTGTCTGAAAATATAATCGCTTGCGCTAGCGAAACATCTGCAACAATCCCAAAAATAAACCCTACTTAAATACACCCAACATAAAACTCAATACGTAATGAACAAACTTCGTTGCAAAGCCGTAACTTCTGAAATACAGGCTGCGTGAAAACTCATAAATGTCAAAATGCATTCCCTTTACTGTTCGCTTGTGATAAATAAATTGCTGTTGAAAATTCATTCATCTCAGCGTTAAAGTATGCATTTTCGAAGACATAAAGTAACAAAAAACGATTTTACAGCAGCAAATATATGTTAGTAATGGTGTAAGATTACCGTTAAACCTTCAGTGGACGAATGAAAGTGTATTTTCTCCTAATTTAAAACCTTAATGCATATCGATTAAGTTACAAATTTGTAATGAAAGCGAAATCATAAAATTGGGACACATTTAAAGAACTCCGATTCAGCGGAACGCATCGTGCTCTGAGGAAATTTTTAATGCAGTTTCTGCATTTCGGTAACATTAGACATAATTTTATCGTTCGCTCCTGGTACCCGATCGGGAGAGTTCGTTGCCACCGTATAAATTTAAACATGGACATAAACAAGCGTATAAAATACTCGGACTTTTTAATTCATCGTTTATCTTTGTGGGTTAATGAAAGGGGATGATTTTATAAATAAAGATGGTGTCTCATTCTCTTATCAAATTTCTTAACTGATTAAACCTTTTTGTTATATAAAAATACAAGCTTAGATATATAGTGACGATATAGGAAAGGCTACTGACAATGACAGAACGAGAGCAGCTAGTGATCAACTAAGTTTGAAATTTAAAGTAGATTCTTACGGTCATCTGCACTCTGTCGCACAGCACTAGCTATGTCGTCATACTTGAGCTAGGAACTTAGCTACTACCGTATTTGCTGTATCGAATTCTACTTCCCGTAAAATAAATGCCTTAATCGTCACACCTCACCGTCGTCGGCCTGGTTACCTTTGATGTAAACAAGATGGTTGTACCACCATCTATCGGAAGCCTTTTTTGGTATTTCCTATAGTTGCCTTCTACGAGTTCCACGGGACGAAATGGGTTAGAGATTCTGTAGTGAAAAAAACCCTTTGCTACCTGTCAAGCGTGGTAACTAAGGTGACAAATATCCCCCCAATGAGGTCAATGTATGGGGAAGGGCTATGTTCAGCAGTGGACTTATGATAGGATCTAGTGAATTGATGAATGATTAAGATTTATTTTAAACTAGTGTTCCTCGCGACTACGCCTGCGTGTAGTTTAGGATTTTAGTTATGTTGCGCGGAACCGTAACTCTTTTTCTAAAATATAAGTAGCCTAAGTTACTTCTTATAACATCAGCTATCTGCCAGTGAAAGTCTCGTCGAAATCGGTCCAGCCGTTTCTGAGATTAGCCGGAACAAACAGACAGACAAAAACTTTAAAATTTGTGTTTTTGTTATAAGCACCGTATATATACATTCATATGCATTTAGTAAAAAAATGTTATTTTGACATTACAAACAGACACTTCAATTTTATTTATTTGTATTAGATAAACTCACACTTCTTAAACTTCCATTATCTAATCGTTCAGTCCTAATAAATAAATGCTTCTTATAAAAAATGCCGTTTATTCGTAAATGAATACCTACTATGTGGCTACTTTCACATCCATTAAAACCAAAAATAACGCAATAAATAATAATAAAACATTGTTTGTCGCATTGTTCCAGAACCTAATGGATCCGAACAAGACAAGTTGAAATACATCGTGAAATATGAAACGCGCCGCCATTGCGTTTTGGCGCGAAATGCCAATCGCTGTCACGTTCGTTTTCGTGGCATTGGCAAGCGTTGCTTCAGCCAGGGATATTATTTTAGGTAAGTAAAAATTGCAAATACGAATATAACTAGAAAAGGATGTACCTAATTATGGCAATACATTTTGTTGACTTGTGTGGTAGAACTATTTACAAGCAAAAACAGTAGAAGGGACAAAGCAGTCATATCTAGCAGTTTTTTTTTTTTACTTATTATAAGCCAGTGCTTGACCACAATCCCACCTGGTGGTAAGTGGTGATGCAGCCTTAGATGGTAAATCGCACTGTCTTATCGTAACAAAAGCCTATTCACTCTTGCCTTGAAGACGCCTAGATTGTATTCGGACGGAAAGATAGACGCCGGCAAATTATTCCACTCCTTTGCTGTACGCATTACAAAAGACGAAGCAAACTGTTTGGTTCCAATGCGTGGAATATCGACAACAAAGGGATGAAGACCCGCCGACCGTCTGATTGTCCGGTGGTGGAAAGGAGAGGGAGGAATTAAGGCGTGTAATTCCTGCGCACACTCACCGAAATGCATCCTATAGAATACCGAGGGACTGGCTACTCTGCGCCTGTGCTCGAGGCTGACAAGATTGGTTTCAACCAAATCAAGGTCACCAATGAGCCTCTTAGCACGTCTCTCCACTGAGTCCAATGCTGCCAGGTGGCATTTTGCAGCACCAGCCCATATGTGACAGCAGTACTCCATGCACGACCGGAGTTCGACTAAGAAGGCACCATTTCTGGTGCTAAGCAGCACTACTGCTATATTCTAGGCCCAGTAGCAAATTGAAATAGTATAATTACAGACTATGAGGCATTCCATATTGGTACATAGAGATGACACGCATTTATAGCCGTATTTCTTTGAAGTTGATTACAGGTGTCCATGGGCTACAGTAGCCACGAACCATCAGATGGACTGTAAGCTGATTTGTCACTCCAATTTTATTAAAAAAAAATATAACAGAAACTAGCATCATAAAAATTTTATGTGTATCCTTTCGTACAATCTGTTAAAGAACCAGCAACCTTATACTGGCGACTAAGAATCATTGTATGTCAGGGGTGACAAACTTTAACATTTTCGCAGCCACGTAACACATCGAGGGTAGATAACATTTAAATTAATCGCATCGTAATTTATCACTCACAGTTGGAATGGTTCTTGTAATTTTCCTAGCTTAAAACGTTCGCAACGGAACTTTATAATGAGAACGAAAAATATTCCACGAAGTTTCAAATTAAGGAAACGATAATGATGTTTAAGATCACATTTACAAAACTTAAAGGTCCCATAGCCAAAAAAAAACACTCAAACCTAAACTCAACAATGGCCCAATACGTACTCGAACAGAATTTATATAGGCTTTATTAAATAGGAAATCATTTATTTCGTATTCCTGACATCGTAACAAGTATATATTAACTAAAATCTTCGGTGTGAGGTGGGGAATTTAAAAGTTTGGTCGATACGCAGCTTTGCATGCAAATCAAGTGTGTCGAAACCTACATCGGCGGTTTGCATCGATATTTTGGCAATCGAAAAGAATATCTTTCGCCCTATTGTTATTCCAAGCAAATATGTTGAGGCGCCATTATGATATTATAATTAGCAAATTCGATTTTAATCTTTTGATATTTCGAAACAATTGTCCCTTCAGGTCTCAGTACTCAATATTTATTAGCATTCCATAATGTACAAATTAATAAATTAAATTATCACAATATGGATCCTGTTGGGTATAGCAAATTAAAACACAGGAGGACGCAATAATGTTTTTTTATTCATTATTATTATTTTTATTATTATATCATTCATTTAAACTATCATTATTCTCATTATTCATTAATTTATTTATCATTCAGGTATTCATATAAAGTATACATTTATTGATTAGAAACACTTTTAATTGTCTTATAAAAATATTATCATTTGTTTCGTTTTTTAATGAGTTTGGTAGTTCATTATAGACAGTTATGGACATTACGTAAGGGCCTGATGAGAAGAGCTTCATTTTAGAGGTCGGTAGCAATAATTTATTTTCATGTCTAAAACTATTAGCCGTATTTTTAGTTTCTCTTTTTACGTATAAATTAGGGCATTCTCGCACAAATTTGCATAATTCCAATATATAAATACAACTTAAGGTAAGAAGTTTAACTTTCTTTAAATGAGGACGACAACTTTCAGTTTTTTCTATGTCACACTTAATGCGAATTAGCTTTTTATGTAAGATGAAGATGAAGATGGTGGGTGGATCTGTACTGTTACCCCACAGGATAATACCGTATCTTAGCTACGCCTGTGCATAGGCATTATAAGTAATTAACGCAGTCTGGAGGTCAGTTGTCTTTTTTATTTCACTTAGTGCATATACAAAACTAGACAATATGTTACGAATTTTCTGAATGTGAGATTTCCAGATAAAACTGAGTAGAGTGTGTTCATTTACTGACTCAATTTTTGTATTTTTGTGAGAAAAATTAATTTTAATCGGCGGTTTTTGATACATATCGGTAAAAAGGCAAAATTTTTTTCTTTGTAATTGATTTCGTGGTTATGCTCTTTCACCCATTGGTCAGTATTTTCAAATATTTTATATAATATATCATTTATGTTATTTACGTTACGACAAGGTGTTAAGATATCATCCGCAAACATAACACATGGGTTAACCATTTTGAGATTGAGATTGTTGGTATATATTAAAAATAGTAAACATCCCAATACACTACCTTGGGGTATTGAAGCATTTATAATTATTTTATTTGATCTGACTTTTACTATTTTATTATTATCAAAGTATTCTATTTCTACATATTGTTCTCTATCTTGTAAGTATGATTTCAACGATTCCAAACTAATCCCACGAACACCTATACTATTTAATTTATTAATCAATATGTTATATTGTACCTTATCGTATGCTTTGCTCATATCTAATAGTATTCCTATTGCATATTCTTTATTATTTAATATCTTTAAAATGTCTTGAATATATTTATATACTGCTTGTACGATAGACCGACTTTTATAAAAACCGTTCTGATATTCACTAAAGATTTTATATTTCTCGCAGAAATTGTACACACGTCTCATACGTTGCATTTACAAAATACATCATATTATCGCTTACATAAAATTTCACATTTATTAAACGCTTTTTAACTTTATTATATTAAATATTTATATTATTTTTAAACTACTTTATATATTGTGTATATGTATTAACATCTTTAACAAATGCTCCGTGTGCAGCCCAAGCACCACTTCCACCAGATTACCAACCTGTGTTCTCAACGTTTATTACATTTTCGTTCATTCGTTCATCAAATTGCCTCACTGCAGACGATATTTTCCCAAATTCCCCACGCTTAGCGGTCGGGTTTGCGATAACCGCAGTTTTTTATTAGTTTGACTTGTTATCAGGTAGATACGTCTGTCCATCTCCTGTATCAGTTTTCATTTGCTGCCACTTCCGACACCCAAAAGATGATGTATGTATTTTGGATATTTTTTATTATATTTTTTTATTAAAAGCCAGAACCTTGTATATCAGTTTGGAAGGTCGTGTTAAGAGGATGAGAAAATATTGCAGTATTCCCTTTTGTATCCTTTAACCACAGTGTTCATGTTACAACCACAACTACGCTATTAATATAAAAGCTATATAGTTTTCAACTGAAGAAATTAGAAAATTTTAATTACTAACGAATTAACACCGAAAATAAAGACAACGGAAAGGGTTATTTCTTCACGGGTACAAATCGATTGTAGCACAACCCCTCATTTGGTACTCATTAACTGCGCCGGATGCTCAGACAATTATGAAAATGTCCAGTAAAATTAGAGCCATTGCTTTCTTTTTGAATCCCTGATCGAAGGTTATTCCTGTGCGACCGGACGGAGGGAGAGGTCTTGTATTGTTGGTCGTTATGAATTATTAAATGCGACGTCCTGGCTACTGTTGCGGTGAGCCAATCAGCTGTAGTCATGTTAAATTGATCTTTTATTTTTTAATAGAGCTTGACATCTTTTTCTTCGTGTAATTCACTGCTTTTTGAATAATGTTCTTTTTTATTTTAAATTGTTTCAATTGCTTACTTTAAGGTTACATGCGTGAAATAACGTCGTTTTATCATGTTTATACATTTATTTTAAATATTACTTTTCTATACTAATCTATGTAATTGTGTACATACTTACGAAGTGAAACTACTTTACGACACATCATTCTTCTTTTATGTTATATTTTACATAAGCAGGTTAAATAATAGTACACCTATGCAGCCCCGGCGGGGAAACGTTACAAAAAAACGCGGCATTTTTGATTTTTTAATACCGTACTAAGTCTCTCCTCTACGTCGATAAAGAAGTTTCACTTCAACATCTGTATAATATCCTTTGCCGTGTAGTGGGGACGTAAAATAATCTACTACCACAAGTAATCCCGTGGGTTTGGTTGGTATCTATGGTAGGTGTCGCTTTGCAACTGCGTTATATTTATCTACCGACTTCAAAAAGGAGGAGGTACTCAATTCGACTGTATGTTTTCTTTTTTTATTTGAAAGCTGGTGCTTTTCATGTGGGTTCATATAAATTTGATCAAGGTTTGATCAATAGTTTTTGAGTTATCCTTAACAATATATATATATATTGAAGTCGGTTGTACAAAATTTTAAATTTTAAATAGTATAATAGAAGAAAAACTCGATACGGCTATTATTCGGATAATTATTCATTGTGGTAACACACGCAATAAAAATTACATCGGCTTGTAATTAGGATCGCGTATTTTTTTTAATATCTTATATAGTATTTTCAAGGCCTGCCAAAATATATTACATAGATAAAAAACGAAAAAAGGTATATCTAATTTTGTTTGCTAACCTGCCTGCCAAACGAGGCAACGATGGTTGCTATCAGCTCTATGAGGCAATCTAACGGGGAGGCTTATGTTCAGAATCGGACTTTTGATTGGTTGAAATGTATGAATAAATGAATGGATTAAAATTTTAAATTTTGAAGGTAGGCTTTTTACTGTTTTGAAA